TGAGGAGGCGCGAAGTCTTGCCTTGCTTTGTGTATGGGGGATGTGAAGATGTCTTTCTTCCAGCTCTTTGACTAGTCATTACCGCTTCATCAGAGGCGATAGTGTTGCTCTCACACAGTGGAGTTGTTCAGTGGGTAAAGCTCAATGGTCATTGCTATTCGGCCTGTACCGAGTAAACGATTAGACCTCTGATTCATCACACGCATAGTGGGAAAGTGCTTGCTCATTGGTGGAATAAAGAAGCCATATTTCTTGTAAGTTTGGTGGCAAGGTGTCGAGGAATCAGAGGTGAAGTACGGTTGTTGCATTCTCCTTAACGGATAGGAGTGACTAATAGAGGTGGTTTCGCTCATAAGTATTCTGAATCAATCGCTTTTGCGCGTCTGCATTGGCTACTTGTGCATCATCTACTCCGTTGAGCAAATTCGTAAACTCCGAGGGAAACATGGCGTTAGCCTTCACATTCTCCATCTTGATCGTAACGCACCATCGGATTAGGAGGACTTTACTTGACCCCCCATTAGGACTGGCTTTTATGTGCTGTTTATCTAATCTGTAAACCGCATCGCATTGTCAAGCAGTAGCGTGGCTATATAGAACCGCATTATTCCCTGACCCACTCTGGTTGGTTATGTAAGAACCCGTGTGCTGTGGTGCGAGTGGTTTGCTGAAAGGATTGTGATGACCACACATGGTGCATGTTTGCTGGGAGGTGATGGTATTGGGATTGTAGTGTGGGGACGTGGTGGAACAGTTATAAACCCCCATTCTAGGTCTGCTTTTTAATCGAAGTAAGCCTAAATAATTTCAAAAGTAAAATTTGGTCAGGTTTGTGATGACCTGTGCTATTTTGCAATGCAATTATATTCCATTAGAAAGAGTTTTTCTTCCCATCGTTTATTAAGAATTCTTAGATTTAAATCTAGAAATGTAACAAAATCAGCGTGACTGTACGTCGAAATTACTTTACATATATGTATGAACTGTCCTCAGTACCAAGCACTTTGGCAACTTAGGATTTTACTCTAAATTGCTTTGGGGCAGTCAGGCATCTCAGGCGACTATCATGATTTCGCTTTGCTCCACACTTCCCTAGTTCATTATTATCAGTAATAAAGTGGTTCTATATATCAAATAAGTTTTTTTTAAGGTTGTTTTGATGTATTTGTTTCAAAATAAAGTGGCCTTCTTTTTATATCACATCTTAAAATGAATGGCTCCCCTATGAAATCTGATAAACGAATTAGGAGATATTCCCCTTATTTCAACGAGGCTCCCTATGGCATGTACGGGGTAGAT